AGAAAAAAACACACCATATCATTAGAGTTTTTGAGAAGCATGGAAATTATGATTTTGTAATTAGGCCAGGGTATAATTATAGGCTACAGTCAGATAATATAATTAGTGTTAGAGCAATCCCTGAAGCTACCACACACAACCACTGTGTGAAGCCTTAATTAAAAAGAGGAGATTACTGTATAAAAGTCATTCATTCTGTCAGCTGCTTTCATTGCAAAAGGTGGGAAGGTGCCCACACATAGGGACTAAATGCAAGAATAAAGGATCTGACACTATAATCACAATACAATAATATCAGTGTCTACAAATGGAAAAGAAGTCACTAATAAAGCAAGATGAGTCAACTCAAAGTTCTTGCTGCCTTAGAGAACATCTTTGATAACTAGTTTTTTAGAATTGAGTTTGCAGTGGAAATATTTCCTGGAAATAACTCAGGAAATTCTTTCCAAATTAAAAAAGGCTTGCGGAATGAAATAGCCGGTAAATCCCTTTTTCCAATATGAAGTTTACACCATCTCTACGTCTGATGTGACTTATCCACAACACACCTATGTGAACTTCTCCCTGGGAAAACACACACACAGATGAAATCATTTGCTTATGGTCACACAGACGAGGACCCAGAAGAGAACTGTTCTCCAGGTCTAGCACAGTGGCTGTGTTATGGGCAGCTGACCGCCCTGGTGTCTCCACCTGGGAGCAGTGAGCAGTCTCCCAGAACCCCAAGTGGTCCTCCGGGTTCAGTTAACCTCCCTCCACTTGGGGTTCCCTCCGCTTGCCAATCCAGCTTCAAGATGCACCGAGTTCAATTTCACGCCAAGTGGCTTCTTTGGTGCCTCACCACCTCTCACCAGGTGAGCAGACGCTTCGCTCGCTGCTCGCCTAGCCACACTGCTCAGAAAAAAACTTCCTGGAAGTTTCCTTTCACTTTCCTCTCACCTCTGCACACTCTCTGTGCATTGTTCCCATGCGCAGGTCTAGACAGCGCCTGCGCCTGGACCGCGGTACCTTTATGTAAAATTCCCTCTCCCAAGGGCCACCGAACGCTCACGTGGCCTGTAGTGCACGTAAAAATGACTTAGAAAAACCTCTCCGAGGCGTTCTTAGACCTCCCACAATTATCCACACTGACAAAATGCGGCACCGGTAACAAGAAAAACGAAACCGACTAGGGAAATCTGTCTTTAGTGTTTCCAAACATGCCTTAAAACGCAGGCATTGCCTGGAGCGCAGAGGTGAAAGTGATGAATGTTGAGTGGGTATTTTTTCACTTTAACTGACTGATCAGAAGAGTATTTACAAAGCCCCGACTAATGTCTGGAGCTGATAAATCAACACCAAAGGAGAACATTTCAAGCACATTTATCATTTGAGACAAACGGGCTATTCTGAGCATGAAGCTTTCTTATTCATCATTGTAGCTCACCTCTGCGCTTGCGTCTTCTCAATGTTAATAACATCTGCATAGGACTCCTCAATATTTAATGTGGACAGCCTGCCTGTTGCATGCCGACGAGGTTAGGATCACGCCTGATCGCCAGCAGGACAGTCAGCTTTCCAGAAAAAGAGGCTTCCCCTCTGAAGCCTGACCCCAGCTAGCTTCTTTATAAATAGCTGCCGTTGGTTACAATGCCATAAAAAGCACAAAATTACTGTTTTAAGGGAAATTAAGGTCAAGATATTTTAACAGACTTTCCCAACGGCACCAAACATTGTCATTAGCAAAGGACACCCAGCATCGTGGGCCCCATGTTTCAGCATTTGTATGACGCAGCTAATGTCCGGGACGGTCTGCCAGGTCGGCGTCACGGTGCCACGCCCAAACAGCACAGAGCCCGAGGGGAGCTTACCTGTTCACCCTCCTCTTCATCACTGCTTAGCTTGAGGTCATCTTCTAGCATTCTGGAAGAGGGAACAGAGAGGTACCGATGCTTAGCAAATTCAAATAATTCTCAACAAAATATATGAATTCGAGCAACGTTTCAGTCATAAGCCCGTCTGATGTACTGATTTGGAAAAGTGTTCGTTTGAAGCCCTTTTCCTGTGATGCACCGAGAAGCAACACACAGCCACGTCATGAAAATTACCCCTTACAGCAGTCACAGCGTGAGATGGGGTGCTTCCAGAACGTGAGCCGCGTTTCCTGCGAAGGTTTTCCGCGTGGCAGCGGCAGCGCTCCGTGTCCACCGCCACTCACGGGAGCAGGACCAGAGGGCCAAGGGGAACGCTGCGGAGGCTAGAAAACAACACGCTAGAGCGGCGGTTCTCAACCTGTGGGTCGCGACCCCTTTGGCGGTCGAACGACCCTTTCACGGGGTCGCCTAAGACCATCCTGCATATCAGATATTTACATTATGATTCATAACAGTAGCAACATTACAGTGATGAAGTAGCAACGAAAATAATTTTATGGTTGGGTCACAACATGAGGAACTGTTTTAAAGGGCCAGAAGGTTGAGAACCACTGCGCGAGAGGGTGAGCCACTCCGCTCGGGGCTCCCACCCGAGGAGACCTGGACACACCTCCGCAGATCCTGCCAGACAAGGAGAATCAGAGGGGACCTTCCGGAAAGACTCCTAAGGCCACTCCCCCGCGCCGCAGATCTGTATGACAGCACACTCTTGGGCCCATAAAAGTTAAGGGTAAAACAAAAGACAAAAAACACTTCAAGCCCTGTGATTTCTGATGATGATAAAATGATATTCTTATCAGCACCACTGAATTGTTTCTTTACAGAATATTAGTTTCCGGATTAAGTCATTTCAAAAGAAATCTCACTTAGGAGTGCGCTCCACAGCAGAAATGCACGCAGGCGGGGCACCAGGGGTGGGTCTGAAGGCCCTGGGCCCCTGCACTCCAGAGGCCTCACTCTCCTCCTCAGGCACCTTCCAAAGACGGTCCCCTAGAGTGTGCCTCGATCCCTTTAGAAGCCCATCATCAGTACATTCCTCTGAATATTTTAATAAGTCATCTCGGTGACTTTTGGGGTGAATCTGGGAGAAAGACCTGCCAGGGTGGGTCATGGGCAGAGTTCTGTCCCAACGTTTCATGCTTAGGGCAGGTCACTTAACTCCCCTGTTTATAAAATGAGGTGATTCCTGGCAATCTCTAAGGTCCAATCTGCTTTAGATTCCATAAGTCTAGGAAATAAATCTGCCCCTCTTCTGAAAAGTAGGAAAACTCTTGTATTGTCCTTGAGATCACCACGGAGGAATTGCTAAGCAACTGTGGCGTACCATTGAAGCCACAGCCGCCGGGACGCCACGTCCACGTCCTCACAGGCTGCGGCTGTGCTGCCTGCCAGTAGTGAGAAGTCTCATTCGCTCATTATTTAAATCTCAAGCAAACAAACAAAACAGCAGCAAAGACTGTAGAGCAAAGACGGTGCCCCTAACTGCTCTTTATGTCCGCCCGGCATGCCATTCATTTCCCGTGATCTCAGGAACTCGTACCCCTGGTTTCCAAGAGGAGACGTGGTGGAGATTTATTAGAGCACTAGTAGCCCTGCCCACAAATCCATGCGCCAGTAGCTTGCTGCTGCCCTCCAGTAGCTCTCTGCTGGCTGCTCTGCCCTCCTATAGCTCCCTCTGCCCCTCCCCCCACCCTCCATAGCTTGCTGCCCTGCCCCTCCTGTAGCTCTCCACTGCCCACTTGTAGCTTGCTGCCCCGCCCTCCTGCTGATCTGTGATCCAGTTGTTATGCGGTCGGTCGTTGCGCTTTACGGTATAACGACCATTTGCCTATTACATCTTTATTATATAGGATTGTTTGGGAAGACGCTAAGTAGGGGATGGTGTTCTCTTTGTCCTTGAGTCCCTGATGACTAGCACAGTGACGACAGAGTACAGTGCCAGCTTGCTGGCTGGGCTAAGGGCACCTTCCCCAGACTATTTTCCTACCGAAAGGTACACATGCCTTTCTGATGAAAAATACCAGAGAAGCAGGCCAGTTTCTTGCCTCTAGCCCTTCCTCCCTCTTTTGGGGCAAACTGCCAACTGCAATTTGGTTTAATCTCACAGACTGCCCTTTGAGCACTGGGTGTTCTACGTGTGGGTGGTCCTGTCAGTGGGGAGGGAAAGGGAGGGGAGAACACACACAATCGTTGCTAACAACCCCCTTGTTGTTACATGGAAGTCCTGTCAGGGGTGACTGAGAAGTTTCATCTTTGTCCAGGCAATCGTGTGCAGGGATTTGAAGGCCACTGTCAACCGGAGCAGGAAACCCCAAAACCCTTCAAAGCCAGGGATCTTAGCTGGGCTGCACACCAGCCGAGTGACTCGGCCACCACACAAAGCAGGCGCTGCTGACAGTAACCACAACTGTGAAAACAGTGCGCCAGGGTCTCTCCTAAGGTACAGAGAACAGCTCAGTGTTGTCTGTTTTAAGCATGTGCTAAACATGTGGACATGCCTCTCACACTCCTGGTCCCAGGCTGCCCCACCTCTGGCCTCGGGGTTGGATCTGCAGTGAGACTCACCTGCCTGGTCATCGCTCAGAGGAAAAGCAGGAGACCCAGCTAGCTTTGGGGGCAGTGAGCATCCTCCCACCGAAGCTCTCACTCATATTTACAAAATATCTCCTGGCTCATATCTAAAAACTGAGGATCAAATGTAAGAAAACTCTGCATTCAAGAGAGACTTCAAGAAAAGTCAGAATCCAATGAAACGTCAGAATATCTTGAATCTGAGGAAAGGGCAACGGAAACACTGAGTGAAACAGACACAACCCAGGGCAATTCTGGCTGCGGTTCTCAACTGGAGACGCAGACCCAGTCCCTGCCGCCTGGAGCCTGAGCCCCAGCAGACACCCCGGAGACCGCTGGGACTCAGCCCATCCTAGAGCCTGACCATCCTTCTGCTGGGCTCCAAGGGTCGCAGCAGGGCCCTGTGACTCAACTTCCAGGGCACAGTGCTCGTTCCCTTCACGCACTTCATTCTGGCGTAATGTTCATTAAGTGCCCACTTTTAATGCTGGAAATATCAGAGTGGCCTCTGGGGGCGGGGTGTGTGTGTGTGTGTGTGTGAAGTCTATTTGAGGTTACAGCTGAACAAGAAACCATGGCCAGAGAAAAGAGAGCTGTGACAGCCACGGCATCCTAAGCGCTGTCGGGTGGTGTGGCAAGAAGCCCGCGGCCTGTGCCTCTGCTGAAACGGGTCCATGGCTCCTGCAGCCCTGCCCCCACCCCTGCCCCGCCCAGGAGACACAACATGGCTATTGTCTGTCCATTTTCAAAAGGAAAGACTGGGCTAGGTGCAACAGACAAGAACTACACAAACGAATATTTTAAACCAAGAGTAAAATAAAGTGCAAACTAAGTGTCGGTTAGGCCATGGGGTAGGGGTGGGGACCTCTAATAACGTTTTTGAAAAAAGGCAATTCTGATGCTCAGAAGGCTGAGGACAGCTTAGGATGGGTCACCTGCACATAGTGCAGGGGTGTGTGGGGACCCCTCCTGGCACCCCGCCACACCCCTCCA